AAGCTAACAGCATTAAAACTCTAGCATGAAAATATGAATTTTAAAGTCACAGGTTGTTGCATTTGGTTTCCCTTGAAAATAGGAATAAAAAAACCCAAAGTCAAGTATTTAATTATTAAACTTGACCTTCCAGACTCCTTGGATCCTTGATTTTAACAGAAGAGACTGCTGGATCAAAAAAAAGTGGAGAGTGTGCATTCAGTTAACTGTGTGCACATATGGAAAGACATACAGCCACGCTAAGTTTGCCTTAGAGACAACCAACTACTGTGGATGATCGATACATTTCTCCCCTCCAAAACTATCTGTTATTTTGTTGAAAAGGTATTTTCAAGCTTTAGCCATTTGTTTTCAATCTTTTCTCAAGAATTGTTTTCCCCCTATTACTACTGCCAAGGATTTGGGTTTTTACCACATTGCCATAGGTCAAAAAGAAAACAAAATACATAAACTTAAAAAAAAAAGCACTTGCAAATACCTTTGTGCAAAAAACATGTAGTAAATTCAGCTTGAAAGATCAATGTTTTGGAAAGTTATGAGCACGTCAGAACAGGATTTCTAATAGAAACTTCTGCAGGTGCTGAACCTCACATATATCTTCCAGAGAAATGATGAAAGTGCAAGAACCAGGCATTTGTCAAAATATCTGACTACAGCAATACTACGAATTCGTAAGTACAAGTCTATAAAGATACAGTTTTCTTCTAGATATAAACCCCCTCTAATAAGCTCAGAAGCCACCATTTCACGAAGGCAGGAAAAACCCCACAAAACTTAAGTGAAGTAAGCAAGGAGGGTTACAGGTGGTTAACTATATGCTCTGAACACAGGTACACTCATTAAGGCAATATCTGTATTAGCTAATAAAGTACCTAATCTCTACATAAGAACTTGCAGTATGTAATGAATAAAATCTGTGAATAATATTTATTGCATTATTTTAATAAAAGAGGCATATTAGGAAACAAAGTTACCAGGCAATTTTAAATTTCTTTAAACATTTAAGCCAAAAAGTTGAATCAGGCACTCTCAGCCACACAGAAGTTGTTTTTATTTATTTATTAAGAACTTTACATTGCTGCTATGGCTTACTGAACGCAATTGCAATTACTCTGCAGTCACCTCTATTACAACCAGGTTTGAATTAGGAAAGGAAAAAAGGTAGTCTTCATCCCCATAATAAAGCCTGCTCATAGGACTTATAGCTATGTGCAATGCATGTCATAGAAGTGTTCCAGGGTTTGCACGTGTTCCTTGAGTTCTGTCCTTGTTTCTTAAAAAAAAGTCACCTACTACAGCATCAAAAGAAACTACAGTAAGCTTTGAAGCGCTAATAATGCAGTAAAGCAGAGGAATGTTACTAGTGTTGCCACTTAAAACCCCTCTTCTCAGCCTCCAAACTAGCATTTCAGGCTTTCTGCAGACGGGATACATCTTCACCACCAGCATAACCCCTTTCCCAAACAGTAGCTCCTCTATTATCCACACAGAGGACTTCCTCCAGAAAGGAATATTTGTCAAACTCCACCAGCAACAGGGAGGACCTTGGGACTTACTAGAAACGAAGCATCAACTGGGTTAATTTACTTTATGGGTATATCTTGATTGCTGAAGACAGATTTTGATATCTTTCCAGAACTAAACTACTGACTGGTCTGTACTTTCCACTGGTTATAATTTTTCTTATCTTTATCAAGTGAAAAGAAAGATTGCTAGCAGCAAGCCTGGTAAGTCCTCATTTCCCTCTAGTGGGTTGACCCTGGCTAGGTACCAGGTGCCCACCTGGTACCTAGCCCCTCTATCACTCCCCTCCTCAGCTGGACAGGGGAGAAAAATATAATGAAAGACTCATGAGCCAAGATGACAGGGAGAGATCTTTCACCAATCACCATCACAAGCAAAACAGACTCAGCTTGGGGAAACTAGTTTAATTTATTACTAATCAAACCAGAGTAGGATAATGAGAAATAAAACCAAAGCTTAAAGATACCATCCCCCACCCCATCCATCCCCCCTTTCTTCCCAGGCTTAATTTTACTCCAAATTTCCCTACCTTCCTGCCCTCTGCCCAAGCAGCACAACTCCAATGGGGAGTGGGCATTGTGGTCAGTTCATCACTGATGCCGTTCTCTGTTCATCTTTGCTTCTCATTCCTCCCCAGGGGGAGGACTCCTCACACTCTGCCTCTGCTCCAGCATGGGGTCCCTCCCACAGGAGACAAGTCTTCCACAAATTTCTCCAACATGAGTCCTTCCCAGATGGCTACAGTTCTTCACAAACTGCTCCAGCATGGGTCTCTTCCATGGGGTGCAGTCCTTCAGGAACAAACTGCTCCAGCATGGGTCCCCCATTGCTATCACGAACCCTGCCAGCAAACCTGCTCCAGCATGGGCTCCTCTCTCCACAGGTCCTGCTAGGAGCCTGCTCCAGCACAGGCTCTCCATGGGGTCACAGCCTCTTCAGGCATCCACCTGCTCTGGCATAGGATCTAGCCCCTGGGCCGCAGGTGGATATCTGCTCCACTGTTAACCTCCATGGGCTGCAGGGGGCAGCCTGCCTCACCATGGTCTTCACCACAGGCTGCCAGGGAATCCCTGCTCCAGTGCCTGGAGCACCCCCTCCCTCTCCTTCACTGACCTTGGCATCTGCAGAGACTTCTCTCTCATTCTCACTCCTCTGGCTGCAGTTCTGCATGTTTGGTTTTTTTTTTGTTCCCCTTTCCTAAATATTATCCCAGAGGCGCTATCACCATTGCTGATTGGCTCGGCCTTGGCCAGCTGTGGGTCTGTCTTAGAGCTGGCTGGCATTGGGTCTATCAGACAAGGAAGCTTCTAGCAGCTTCTCAAGAAGCCACCTCTGTAGCCCCCTGCTACCAAATCCTTGCCACCCAAACCCAACACACCCTCAAAATAAGTGGTAAAGCCAGACACTAACCACTATGGCAAGGACAGAACTGACAAGCCTGCACAAAAGTCTTTTGAGATGTGACAGTCTGCATTTCCTGTCTGAATATAAGGAGTGGTAAGAAATAACATCAGAAGTCTTGGCAGAGGGAACACATAAGCAGGGACAGAGAGGATCTGAAATAAGCTATGCATCCCAATAGGCTTCATGGTGTTCCCAAGGCCACATTCAGAGAATCTGTAGCCAAAATTAAGTTTCTTTAGCCTTAGACAAAGAGATGCTTGCTATCCTTGTGCAATATTACTAAAGCCAAAGGCAGATGCAGATGAGACGGGAAAGGTTACCCAGGTGCCGAAAACCATAGTCAGTGGTGGAACACTGAGCTACGGTATGTTAAAAATCAGAAGCTACGCAGTTTTCTTTCCCTTCATCCTTCCCACTCAACATATGCAAAGTAAGGTAGGTATTAACAGCTTCTTCTGTGAGAGGTGTTCTAACTTAATTTCAACAGGGGGAGGAAAAAAGCGAAGTCATCACTGACTTTGTGGTACTGCCCCAAACACCCTGCACTTGAATCACCACAGGATTACCCAAGGAAGAGCACCCCAGCTAAGCTGTGTATGAAACCTCCTGAAGTACCTACTTCTCAATTCACCTCCTAGACAAAGGCTGAGTTGCCAGGAAACTTCCCCACTATCTTAATGGTCCCTCAAGCTGCACTGAATCTTGATGGAAGGTGTTTAATGAGTGCCAATGGGCAATGGCCAGAGCCTGCACTAGTTCTGCAGTGAAGATGAGTCAAGCTTCTGAAATTCTCTGCTTAATACTATATATTATGAATACAATAAAATGAAAGTAGATATTCTGAAGATTTGAGAGGTGTTTGTAGACTACATCACCATAAAAAAACCAAACTTCTACCAGCATTCAAAAAGTGAAAGCTAAAAAAAATCTCAATGGTTTAGAGCGATGCTTGTGCCTTTCCTGTTTAAGCAAAAAACCAGTAATACGTATTTCTCCACTTTTTCCAACCCTGAAGGATCAAACAAATAGCATGCTTCATACTAAACAATTAGGAGTGGAAGCATGCTACTTTGTCTACATGATATGTCTGGCACACTAGAGAACATCTTGGCTCTCACATTTTCCTTTGACAGCTATCCTAATAAACCATACTTTCACCACTTCCCATGGGATAGCATTCCTGGCCTAGTAGGTCTCATACTCAACAAAATACAACTTTATCTTGGACTCCATTTTCCCCTTTGGTTAGTTCCTTTCCATTACCTCTATTGGTTCTGGTCAGAAGGCCATGGATATCTTTTGGTGGACAGACTGAACAACTTGCTTTGGGATGATTCCATATCCAGACTCAGTCCATTCTGGAGAAGACTTCTTACACACATTGTCTTTACATGGTTCAAGTTTGACCTTAGTCACACCGTTGGGTCTTAATATTCTTCATATTTTTCATCAAAAACCATGACCTCCAAAAAAAGCTCATCCTTCTGCTGTTTTCACAACTATTTTTCTAGGTTTCTGAGATATTTCTGGTACTTGGGTTTATACATTGCATGACATTATAAATTATAAGTCCCAAACCATGAAAGACAGTGTATGTGATTATGGAACCCTCTCTCATTCCTTGAAACACTCATTTTGAGACAAATAAGGAAAGAGCACAGTATATTCATTCTTTTATGACACAGCATTAGTCACAGCATTTGATACACTAAAAGAAAAAAAAAAGTGTGACAATTTCACTCCTTCCCCATTCTTCAGTTTTCCCATCACAGAAAAATCTTGTTTCAAGAATTTGATGTAAATTTACAGTGAGGAATCTCTATCCTCAAGCTCCCTTCTTCCCACACGCTTCACCAGTGTGAGACAAAAAGGCAAGTGATTAAAAATTGAAGCTGTCACATGTAAAGAGATTAATTTTCCTTGAAACCCACATGTTCTCTGCCTGAGACTTCCCCAAACATACTTTGCCTTCTTTGCAGAGATAATGCCAGGCTAACACATCACTTAAACAGAAGTGAACTGGTAGAAAGCAGCAGACAACACCTCACCCACTGAAAAACAAAGCAAGTTACCTCTCGTTTGTTTCTCCTGGCAACTTTGAGAAATTCCATAAGGATCTGCAATTGGGCAGCATGGGACTCCTGTAACACAGTAAATAAGGTATATGAAAGAGTTACACTTCCTCAACAGAAACAAACATTAATTTTATACACAGAAATCCACACTTAGCACAGAAACAGCTTTCATTTAGAGGTAAGGAAGAGAAAATAGCTTAAGGCAGTTTTAAGAATAGCGGTTTTACTTTGTGTCACAGGTTTTAAGGTTTTGTTTGCCTCAAGTTTTTACATGAAGGCAGAAATTGTTGTAGCAGCTCTTGTTTGTGCATTACTGAGGACTTCCTAATAAGCTGAAATGCTTGAGGTTTTTTGGCTACCTGAAATTGCTTTTGGAATACAGGTTCCTTACAGATTCATCTTCTACCCTGTAAGATCATTAGCATCCACTTCATGATTAACATACTAAAGCATGAAGTATTTATATAAAACATCTCCCCCTAAAATTAACATTTGTGTTTATACAAAGAGATTACTGTTTAAGATTACTTCAGAGTGGAAAACAACAATAAAGTCACTGATGAAACTAAAATATCCCTTTCCAGTCTTAAAACCCAAATTGGCCAAAAACTTGACAGGGCAAGATAAGAGAAGCACAAGAGGAAAGAAAAATAACTTATAATCCAGCATTAATATAGCCCAAATCCTATCCTAGAATTCAGAGACTTATTTTCACAACCTACCAAAATATTTATTGTTAAAGGACTGTGAACATACATTCAAAAAGGATCAAAAAAATAGGAGCATGCAGAATCCATTAAAGGCAGATAGGACAGGAAAAGTAAAGGTATTAGGATGCAAGTCTACTACTTTTCTGAGATTATTTTCTTCCTCCCCACCCCGTGACAATAATGAAAGTGAAGCAAGTAAAACTAGAAAGGAAAAATATTTTAAAATTGTTCTTGATGTGTCAGGTGTGGTTTTTATTTCTTTGGGGGTTTTTTGGTTTTGTTTCGCTTTTTTTTTAAGGTTTAGTATCCTTAAAAGAATATTCCTGCCCAGAGGCGCCTATGCACTCAGTCCTGTGCCACCTTTGTTTCAGATTTGTCACAAATGACACAAAAAGGCTTGAGGGGGAAGAAAAAAAAAGTTTTACTCTGAAATCAGAAACCATACACCCATATCTTCAATGAGCCACAATAGAAAGAAGTTATGTAGAAGTCCCCATGCAAGAACTTAACATAACAGTTTTGCTAGTAGTCAGTAAAAATATTTTTGGGTTACTTTCCAGAACCACAAGTTGCATATATATTCATTCTGCAAGAGTGAATAAGATAAGCCATTCCCAATACCACTTTTCCTCACCCATTTTAAGCACCATTGAAATCCACCCTCCTGCCCAAAGTTCACTAGGCCAAATTTCATAATCCAGTTCAATTTAGAAGGTCTGGCTCTCACAAATGGAAAACATTCACTTGAGACCAATAGCATGGAATGGCCAAACACATGAGAACTATCCCAAACCAACTACATTTCAGTTAAATCATAGGAACAGCTGGCTTCATATTGTATAAATCTTCAAACCAATCTCATAAGCAAGACATCTGAACTTTTCTTTCAAGCATTAAATGCTAAAAAAAGTCTTCAGGGATAGCAGTTATTCAGGTTCTACCAGTTCCAATAGAAATTAAAAGGTGCAATTCTTTTCCACATGTTCACTGAGTTTATTCCTTAACCTGTATTTTGCTTGTTACCAGGAAAGGTCTGATATTTACTTGTGCAACAGTCAATTAGCAAACATCTTCATATGCATTTCTGTATTCTGCTAGCTACTTTCTCTTATCATTTCCCATTTTACCTGCCTGCCAGCCACAACATCATAAGCGTGGAAGTGTTAGTTTGCTACAAAGGTCAGTAAGTGGCCAACCCATCACCACCAAAAATGCAAGAGAAAACTCCAAGCAATTAATCTGGCAATAGAAGCTTACTTCAAGAAAATAAAAGCATGAAAATAAACTTTTAACTTGACAACAGTATTCACTTAAGTAAGACATGAGAAACTTCTTACTGCTTCCAACTGCTTCTTCTTTTGCACCAGCAGTTCCAGCATCAGGTTAACATTGGCCAAGTCAAGATTGTCTTGATCAGTTCCCAACAAATCTTGAATTATCTGCCACCTATGGCCATTCTAGAAAAGACAATAAGAGATGCTGGAGAGACAGTGGGTTCAAGCCATCCAGGGCTATATCCAGCAACAGATATTAAAAGCAACACCACAGTATTTCATCCCTTTGTAAAAATTGCAAAACAATTTTCAGGGATCAAAATTACCAATCCTCCCACATGTACAGGATATAGCTCTTCTGTCCTACTGTGTAAACACTTATCTTATTTGGAAGATATCTGTGCTTTATGAGAGCATAGCTGCTACTGCTAGGAAGAGATTATTTCACAGCCACAATTTTATCTGATTTGTGCCCTATTTTCTGAGAACATATTTCTAAGGGGAGAAAGAAAAAAACATGTTTATCCAAGCTTAGTTGGATTACATCTATCTGAAATACTGTTAAGTGGCAATACCTTTTAATTTTTTTAACCAAGTAATAGGTAAAGCCCTCATGCTAAATTCAAATGGAAGAAGGTACTATCAGCTTATTTTTTCTATTCTCACCTCCCACACTACTCCTCTTAAGAATATTTTCACAGTAAATGTGAGAGCAGGAAAGAAGATGGAGCTCATCAGGGTGATCTTCTCATTCAACCTGTTAGAACTGAGAAGGACTCCTCAGAGAGACAGCATGCTACCATGCAGCCCATTCTTCCATACAGGCTGTTTGCTCTTCTCTTTGTCAGCAAAAAGTAAAAAAGTATCTTTTAGCACAGGAAAACCTGAATAATAGGTTAACGCTAATATAGCCTTACATTAAAAAAGCCTCAGGAACCAACAGGAGCAGCTGAAAGGTCCTTAGGCCTTCTAAAGAAACAAAGCTGGATTAAAAAAATCCTGCCCTATAAAAGCTATGACACCAGATCTAAATATTTAGATTTGCAAGAACTAGAAATGCCATCCAGTCTAAACCAGACATTTTCTAAGAGGTTGTAGCCTATCTGTATTAACTAGATTAAGAAAAATAAAATATGTAACATCCCTATAGAACACAACTTTTTACTTTTCACACAACTCCCAACAGAACCTGCAGAAACCACACAGGCAAAAACTCAATTTCAATCTGTAACAACTGGAAAAAATATAATTTTTAAGCAAGTCAGTAAGATTTGACACAAACTTCTTTAACATACTGATGTAGTTAAATGTACTACAGCTAAACTGCTCAGAAAGCTTCAAAGATGTCTTAACATGATTTCTTAATGAGACAAATCCATGACCAAGAAACAGTGCATTTGCTGCAATGTGTCTTGAAAGAGTTCTCTTAATACCAAGAGTAATACAAGGGAACAGGCACATTAAGAAGCTGATACAACAGCAAGGTTTCTCTTTTTAGAGATGTCAGTATTTTTTATTTTCTGCCAAAAGGTGGACACAATATTGGTTTGAGCATGAAGTCATGGTAGATTTCCACTTACAGGTAGTTAGATAACATAGATGTATTAACGGGCATAGTTTTTAAAGGTGAGCTATGAGAAAGAGTAGAGCCAATTTCCAAGAAGTTCCTGTACATGCCTTCAGGTCAACTGTGTGCATTTTAAACCAGATATGGTTTATCTATATTTTATATTGAATATATAAACTTACTGTGAGTAAACCAATGAATCCTTAAAGCACACTCTTTTCTAAAGCATGCAACTGCTGAAGACACCAGTTTCTGCAACGCAGCCCCTAAATTAATAACTCTTCAATAGAGGGGTTTTTTAACTGACAAAAACAGGGGCTCCATGATTTTAATATTACTTCGCAACCTTATGAGTTACAGAAGCCAAGGAAGGAAGCCAGACATAGCAAGACAAATATTCAAGTTTCCTGGTTAATGTCATATATTATTTTTGATCTTAATGCACAAGAGCATCCGCTACTGCTGTACAGAGGTTTTCATGAACCAAGAACACAGATCACGCTCTGTTTCTGTGACATGAAGCAAGTCTAGAAGATATCCAGGCAGTTTTATCTGGGATCAGAGCCAGAACATCAGTACTCTGAACGCAACCTTCTCCCTCTTGTGGTTGGTATTAGCCTTACTCCAATTTCCCTGTAGAACACAACCTCTCGCACATGATCAGGCAAGCCTGTGGCACTTCTAATCATCCATTATTCTCATTGTAGCTGTAATTTCCAACACTGAATGAAAATTATTACCTTTAAACAAGTGTGCTTCCATGGGTAGTTTCTCAGGTTGTGTCCAATACATCATATGACACTTAACTATGCTAGCACAGTTTGCCTCTACATGTATATTGCTGGCAGGACAAATGAGAGTTAACAAGGTTGAAGGGATCTAGTGCCACTGATATTGATATTATTCCCATAAATCAAGTTAAAGCATCAGCTCAACAATGTTTAATTTAGAAGAAATTACCACATAATGACAATTGCTATAAAGAGCTATTAAATAAATATAAAGTAAAAAAGTTGGAACATACGGTGCTACTCACTGAATGGTCCAGTTTGAGCCTTTTCTCCTCAGATCTTTGCTTCTGTTTAAGAATAAGTTCATTGACTAAAAAAAATAAATAGGATGTCAGAGTTGGACTTAAAGTTCACAAAAAAGCATGAGAAATTCTACCTCAGTATTTTTACTTTATGTATTAATTCCACAGTAAGTTCATCAGCAATTAAAACAGTTGAAGATATCTCCATTTTCTCTCACCAATTTATTCCTTGATTTTTTTTGGTAAAGTATATAAAGATTTTTAAAAGTCATCAGTGAATACAATGCCTATACATTCCCCAAATCACTTCAGTTCCCTTTTCTAAGTGCCCACGGTTCTTTGACAAAGCTTTTCAACTCCAAAGCAGAAGTTATCACAGAAGATTAGGAAGGAGACAAAACATTAACTGACTTACTACAGGCTAAAAACAAGCACAGCTGAATAGAATAACTTTTTCCTTTAACCATTATGTGCATTTTTAAAGATGCATTTTCGCTACAGTTTTATTTCACACCAATTTAGTGAATGGTGTGAAGACAAAGATAACCTCAACCCTTTGCACACACATATACAAGCTTGTCCCCCTCCTCATGTCTCCCCCACCCCCACCCCAGTCTGAAACCCCTGAATGTAGGAAGGAGTATGGAAGCAACGCTCTACAGCCTAACACATCCTCCAAGACCTGCCTCAGCACCACCTTTGGCACAACATGCTTGGGTCTAAATCGGGATACCCATTTCTGAAGCATTCCTTGGCTACTATGGCTTTTAATCTATTCACTATTAAATCAATATCCCAGCACACAAACCCAAGACTTGATTTAATTTTGATATTCCGTGCTGCAATGTGCTTCCTTTGATCTTTTCTCCCCATAACAAAGTTTTAGACTATTTCCAGTTAGCAACATTTCCCTCCTCTGTTTAAGCAATCAACTAGGATTACATATAGGTATGTGTATGAATATTTTCTCTGTATCTACTTTACACATACATACATGGACCTCACTACAGTAGCCAAAATAGTACAACGTGTAGTTCAGTCTCCCCCCCCGCCCCGCTTTCAGTGTCCATGCTTTGTAAACAGGGCGTGTTCTTGATTATTAGACAAGAGTGCAAGAAAACAGAAGTAAATAATGATACTCAAATCTCCAGCCATCAGAAAAACATCTTCATTTTGCTTTTCTTAGTATGCAAACAGCAACAAGTCAGTCTCACTACTGTAGCTCAGCATACAGAACTGCTGGAGGCAGTGGAGTATTAATGATTTATTCTACTAACCACTTTTTTTTTTTATAAAAAACACAGTTGACCAAAGGACTGATGTTTGGATTTTGTTTTCAATATCCAGAAGCTGGTTATTTATAGGACAAATTTACAAATGCCTGCCTTCTCATGCAAGCAAGCCAAGAGCTCACCTAAGAAGTTGGGATAGAGATGATCTATGTTGTCCACAACATAGTTGCATTTGGGACATCTGTTATTGTCTTCCAAGCTCTGGTGAATACATTTATAGCTGTTTAAAACAACATAAAAAACAAGTGAGCAAACATGAAGGAACAAAACATAAGCACAGGGTAAATAATATCAACCTTAGATAATGTGTACTGTGTTGCCAGCTAGCAGCCACATTACCAAGATCCTACATTGAAGTAAAAATGTTCCAACATTAACTCAAAGCATGCTACAGCAGAAAGACAGCAAAGTTTCTTGGCAAGGATTAAATACCTTTCACAAAAGGTATCCAAGTACTTCACTCGTTTCCCTGAGGATTGTGGCAACATGGATACTTCAGCCACACAGAATCACAGAATGGCAGGGGATGGAAGGGACCTCCAGAGATCATCCAGTCCACCCCCCCGCTAAAGCAGGTTCACCTAGAGCAGTTTGCACAGGATATCGTCCAGGCAGGTTTTGAATATCTCCAAAGAAGGAGACTCTACAACCCCCCTGGGCAGTCTGCTCCAGTGCTCTGTCACCCTCAAATTAAAGAAGTTCTTCCTCATGTTCAACTGAAACCTCCTATGCTTCAGTTTGTGCCCACCGCCCTGTTGCTGGGCACCACTGAGAAGAGTGACTCTGTCCTCTTAACATTCACCCTTAAAATATTTGTAAGCATTTGAAATCCCCTCTCAGTCTCCTCTTCTTCAGGCTAAACAAGCCCAGCTCCCTCAGCCTTTTGTCATAGGGGAGAGGCTCCAGTCCCCTAATCATCTTTGTAGCCCTCCTCTAGACTTTCTAGTAGTTCCTCATTCTTCTCAAACTGGGGAGCCCAGAACTGGATGCAGTACTCCAAATGCAGTCTCACCAGGGCAGAGTAGAGGAGGAAGATAACCTCCCTCAACCTGCTAGCCACACTTCCATCTTGAATTTACACCCCCTCTTCCACAGGTAAAGAAACAGACTGCATTATTCAGAAGCAACTCTTTTAGATTAGCCAAATACTTATCAAGCAACATTAAAAGCTATTGTGCATTTTGGGTAATTGAACACAGAAGAAATGCGTTCACCAACTTCTCACATTTCCCTCACTCCCAGCTGTTGCTCTCACCAGAAAGGACTTCAGAGGTGCTCTCTGTTGAGCTGTTAGCTATTTGAGGGACAGAGTAACTACAAGATGCACTTCAGCATCAAGTTTAAGCATCTCATTAAGAACCTAGCTTCACGTTAACTGCTGGTAAAGACATCATGTGACAACATTGCTCTGTTCTTTCTAAATAAAGATAATTGAATGCTTCTCATCTTGGACTTTTAAAAAAGTTACAGATCACAGGGATAAAGTGTTACCATAGAAGGCACAAAATCAGCTGTTGTCTTACCTGCTGCAGGACAAAACACTTCTGAAAGTTAACTGAATCTGCTGCTTGAGGAAGTGCTTTATACTACCAAAATACCACCTCTTGTAAAAGGCAGGCAATTTATTTCTAGTTAGCAGACACTGTAAGAGTATAATGTACATGGGACATTAAAACATCATGGTTCAACATTTATTGCAATCCCTAGTTGAGAGCAGGAGTAGCAGATAGTTCTGTACCTGCCCCTGGAGGGTTCTCTTACTTCCCCACAAAACATTTGCTCCTCAGTGTGTTATCTCTGGCTGTCATGAGAAGTAAGTGGACCTTAGGCCAATTTAATACAACAGAAACAAACCTGAAGCATATACTCTCTTAAAAAGTTTAAGATAATTGCAATAGACAATGTGCAAGCCACTTCAAACTGTGTATGGTCTTGCACAAAGGCAAGGAGGACCTCCCAACACCAACAGTCACTCCCATGACCTCTACAAAGGTGAGACCCAGTGCTTCAGGTGGTAACAGACACCTTTCATTTCCAATACAGATAAATAGACAAACTGTTCTGACTCTAGGTACTGGATGCTACCAGCAGTTTATGACCATTTTATTTCTTTACAGAGGAAACATTTTTAGTTCTAAACACTGGTAGCCATCCTTTAGAATTTTATTTCAACCTCTTTCTTCAGTGCAGGGACAGAAAACAGAAAAGTAGCAAAAACTTGGAAGAAAAGGGATTCACAGCAATGTCGGTCCTCACATGCTGTAAGAGATGGACATTTTGCACAATACAAAAAAGTCTTACCAGAAGCTATGTCCACATTTTGTCATGTAGGCTTCTTCAATCATATCAAAACAGATGGGGCTGGAAACAAAAAAACAACATAAAAATCACAAATATGTCTTTTTATGTTAATAAAGGAAGGAAAGTATTATTAATTCAAAGCAGCCACCTAATCACACTTAGGTAATATATTCTATTTGCAAAATGAAAGAGGACACAAAAGTGCAACAGCAAGCAGGCTGTATAAAGATCAAAAGGGCAATCAATGTTCTTTGAACTCAGAATGATTCTGCAGTTTGCTACAATTAGAAACCAGGTTAAGTGTTTGCTCTTGAAACTTCCAACAGTTGCAAACCACCCAAAGCCAGAATACCTTCAACAGGCAAGGCTGCAGAAGAACCTCCTAACCCTAACCATCTGTACTAGGTCTCAAACAAAGTGTAAAAAACCTGGGTTTTTTTACATTAACAGATATAAGGTATTTGTAAGTTACACCAAAATTAGTTTATCCTTCCTTTTTTCAGTCAATAGCTATCCATAATTAAAAAAAATGCAAAGAGGCAGAGCAGAACAGAAATAGTAATGATGTCATGAGAACAAGAATTAATAAGCAGGAGGAGAAAGAAGGTGCCAACGAGGGGGTGTGCCTGCAGAGCACTGCCAGGGAGCAGGCTGGCTGCTGAAGAGCACTATGAAGGTACAGTGCAACCAGAAGAGGGAACCAACAGTCAAGCATGGCATTACGAAGTCAAAGACAACAGGAAAGGTAGAATATGGGACTGTTCATTAGGAAGACAGAGGAATGCAAATGGAAACAAGGGCTTTAGTTTTTCCCAGGACTAGCTAGTGACCAAAGCGCAGCCAGCTCTCTGGGATGGATCACCAAGGACCAAGCAGGGAGCTGAAAAGAAGGATGTGCAAGCAAGCAGTGCTCCACAGGAACCTGAGCAAGACAAGAGACATAGGAATTCAATGAGATGGGTGGTGGAAGAAATCCATCTCATCATCAAGCAGCTGTGACATGTTTGAAAGGATAACAAAACACAAATGAAAGCAGAGGAGAGATGCCCCTTACTTCCAGTGACTCCTGTGGCTGCTATCCCTGGTAGCTGGTAAGATATGCTCTCACATACATACTCATCTTCAGATCTTGGCCAGCTATCCAGTGAGATGCTGTGGACAGCAATGTCCATTCCGCACATAACACAGGTATCAGCTGTGTCACAAGCTTCACCTTGCTTTCAAGCCCTTACAGAGATCCAAATGCTCTTCTCTCACTCCCACAAGTCGACACCAATCTCAGATCAGAGGTTTTCACCAGCATTTGTTTTCTTCAGAAACAGCCTCCACCTACCTACAGCCAACAAGGCAGTTCCCACAGAATGAGCTGTTAATAAACTGTTAAGAGCTTTTGAAAAGCATGAATCTTTTTGAATCCAAGATTAAAACCCCAGACCTTAGACTGAAATAAGCAATGCTTGGCTGAGCAAGGGAGGGGAACACTTCAATTTCTCCCTTGTTAGCACTCCACAGAAGTCATTGCCCCTTTCTGTCATCCATTTTAGAGGACACTAACATTTGTTACCCCATTAGGCATTTAAAAATAGGAAGGAGTAAACACCTCTTAAATAAACGCTTATTTTTTAAGCCCATATAGGGGAAGCTGTGGCCCCTGCCAATGCAATCCCCCTCTGAATGACCAAACTGGAAAAAACAGATGCCACAAAAGGTTTGTCCAACCTCATGTACAAACCAGGTTGTCTTACATATTCCACCAATAGTCTGTATAAACACAACATAAAGGCACACAAATCAAAAAGAATGCTACTCTCTGAACAAACTGAGCCACCAGCTCTGTTCTTCAAAAGAAGCCTCCAAATAATGAACCATGCACCTGTTCCTCTTCCACCCTGACAGACCCTTCTCTGCACATCATCTGCCTTGAGTAGCACCAACTTCAGGAGTTAAAAATCACTGTTTCAGAGTTAGAAGTTATTTTGTTTCAAAGCACTGTTTAGTCAGAATAAATTATGACCAAACTTAGCCAACAAGTGTGGATTAATAAGAGAATCAGGCATCCTTGCATTCTATTAGCTGGCCTTTAAATAAGAAAGGCAAAGACTTATGGTCATATGAGTGTCTGAGACTGGTTTCTTCACACTGGTGATGAACCGCTTAACTTCTTCACCTTCTAGCCAGCTGTACAACATAGTCCCACTCTCTGTATCACGCTAAAAACTGCTATTCCCCACAGGGCCAGATGTGGTTTTTCGAGCACAGTCCTAATGACCTGCCTCCAGAAAGCACAGCTATCAACAAGGCTATAATGCTCCTCTGTCTGCAACAGGACATCACAAATTAGAGCTAAAAAGATGAAGATTACTTCCTAACACAACAGTTACCCAAGACCACTGTTTCCAAACTTCTTATTCTTTATAAGAGTTTGACTGGAAAAGTGACAGAGCCAAAACAGTTGAGAAAAAACAAACAGACACAGCCATTCAGTTCCAGGGTCATCATTAACAGAGCCTGAAGTTTCCATTAAGAACTGTTTCCCCTGAAATGCTCACTGATTTACAAGTAGAAACAAGATTGATGTCTTTTAATACTTATTGAAGCCAAGCTGGCTATAACACATAAAAGTTGCTATGCACCAGCTGTTTTAAGTTAATCTAGCACAGAGGGAAGGTTAAGAAAGTAGTGGAGTGATGAGGACTTAAGACATACTACAGCTCGTAGTATACACCAAAACTGAGAAGCATAGGAATGGCGAAATCAAGGTTTCTCTGCATGAGGTAACTCTTCCTCTCTACTTAAGTAGCAAAGCCATGTAAAAAGGATGCAAATTACTTCAACAAGCCAAAACTGTCGCTATTCTTTACTAGATATTGATGCCTTATTTACTAAACAGGTTTTTTTTATCCAGCACTGCAAAGGTTTACCATTCTTTCTATACAGGGTAGACCTCATTTTTTAAATCATTTACACCAATTTCATGCTACTAAATTTTGCCAGCTGGTTTCAAGGCATCTCACAAGAGTGCTACTATCACCCTGCTGCTACCCAAACACTTGGCTGAAGTGGTAACTATAGAATTTAAACATGTTTCAAATTTCTTTCTCCTCTGCAGCAAGTAAGACCCATTACAGTTTTTCCCTCCTATTCTGTTCCTCTTCAGTCTAAGCAGAGAGCAGGACTTGCTGCAGACTCTGTTCTTCACTGGGAAGGTGGCCAGGTTAAAGATCACTTGGCATTACTATCTACTCAATAGGAAGCTCCAATATAACAACAGATTATAAAACCATCATCGTACATGGTATGTAAACAGCTCACTGTTTTAAGTTTGTGACCTCCAGGGTCAGTCTGCAGTATTCCTTACTAAAGGGGTTTGCCAGATCACAAACACATGAACAACTACACTCAGCCCATGCCTGGCATTAACAGGTAACCACCTCAGGAAAGAACTGTTTAAAACCCATGAACCTGCAAGCTCACCTTTAAACATGCCACACAGCCCTTCCCACACCTGAGTTTGTTGGATGTACCTCTCCAGGTCAGTATGCAATGTGCCCCCCCTTCCATACTTTCTTATCTATACCAGAGCTCAGAAACAAGCACTGGTATGAAGTAGCCACTGAAGACACAGCCTACAGCAAGATCCCCTCCATCCAGGGAGCAAAGCAGGTAGTAACTGGTCTTAAAGAGGTTTAGTTAACCACTAATTGGGAGGGTTAATGTAAGGCCTGGGAAAACTGTAAGCAATTACACTGCTGGACAAGAGAAAATCCTCTGATTAGAGGATTCCCTCTCAGGTACTCTCCAGGCAACCAGGAAGAGACCTAGCTGCAGGAGCAGCACAAACCCTACCTTTAAATTCTACACCCTGTGCTAAGAGAAACTAAAAGTTTCCCCTTTTATTATAAAGTTGTCCAGTAAGTTAGGCCTATTTGCTTTCCTGACTAGAGTTACACATTTCCAGGCAGAAGCTGATACATACTACAAACAGTACACACACTTGCAAACTCCTGAGAACACGCTTGCTAAACATTTCACAACCCAGACTAGCAACGTATGCCAACATTTGCGTTAAAACTGAGGGCTTACATTGCTGAGATAGCACTTGCAGAAGACAGGCAGAAAGGCTGCAGACATTAACATTATTTACAGGACTTCCACTTGCACCTTGCTGTTTGAAACTCATCCAAACTTTTTTATTCTTTCCCACCTTCAGTCTGATACAGGCAGAATCTACCACTGAGTTTACAGCTGTAGCTAACTGCTAGCAACTCACAGCCCATGTTCAGAAAAGTTATCGAACATTCCCTGCAGCTGGCAGCATCTTGAAAGTGTCCTTATAGAAAAAAAAACATGGAAAATTCTGCTTCTCAGACTGAGATATCCAAAACGTATTTAAATCAATTATTTAAACCCTCTCCCCCCACAAACCTGTCTTCTTGGACATTGCTCAAAATTCCACAGCCGCCCAGTTGAGTTTATTTCTGTACTATATAACTGTATTGCTAACTCAAAAAAAAAAGAGGAATACTATGATTTGAAGCTAGTATCAATATAAGCAAGAACAAGCCCTACAGCCCACAGAATACACAGCAGTGAAGAACCCAGGTCAGTTAACTGTAATTATCATCTGCTCTTAAAGCTTCTGACCTGCACTTCAGTATGCAAAATGTAGCTCTTTGTAAATGCCAAGAAAAGGGGGACAAGAAAATACGTTTTTCCCTGATTACTACTTAGCTGATTTTTTTTTTTGCTCTCACTAGTTCAGCCAACAGCACTCCTCAATGAGGAGAAATCAGCTAATTACATGTTCTCCTTGAAGGATGCACAGTACTTACCTGCAGAAAAAAAAAACCAACAAGAATCTCAGCTTTTTGAACCATCTTAAAATCCTTCAACTGGCCTACAAACTTATTATGGGCGTAATTTCACTTCAAACACCCTCATTTCTATGAGAGACAACAAAATGGGAAAATGACAGCTGTCTAGAAAGGGACAGGGAGGCATGGTTGCAGACCACTACTGCCAGAGTGTAACTGGCAAGGGAACAGAGGGGCACAGGCATTCACAACCAAGTTAACCCCCAGGACCAACAGCAACGCAGCCATCTCCCACACCAAATGCCCTTAAATCCACCTAACATTGCCTAGAGCTTTCAGCCAGAGCAGGACATCAGCTGATTACAGCTGCGCTCTCACCCCAATTCTGCTACTGAGGAAACAACTACTTGCAGTAATAAGTAGTAATTTTTTTTATTACTTATTACTAGTAAGAAGTAGTTACTGCTTTTTCTGCCACCTTTTAAGCAGCTTCAGGTTCTCATTTCAGTAGCAAGGATATTTCCTATCTGTTCTCCTAGACAGCTTACAAAGCTGTAAAATCAAGTCTACAGGTTTATGAGACAATGCTTGTCCTGTGGAGATGCCAAACATCCAACCTTCACCTGTAAATCAGAGCTGTCAAAGTCATTTGGGAAGCTGTGCCCCACTTCTCTTCCTCTTTTTTTTTTTTTTTACAGTTTCTTTCCAATACATGACTTTCCTACAACTCAAGCTTCTGCTGAAGATCTCACTGTTTGCCTCTCTGACGCGAACACTTGCCCCTATTTTCTGTTCTCACATTTTAGTACATTCTATCAGGTATAAAAAGCAAACCTACTCCTTATGTGAGGAGGTTTGAAACGCGTTAGCAATGGGATTTCCTTATAACTGCAAATTACCAACAGTTCTCAAACCACACATTGCAGTGGGCCTCGGTCTACCACTTCTGCTGAAAGTGTATTTCCAGCTACAAGCTACAGCTTTGGTCAAACATTAGAAGGACAGCATCTGAACAGCTTCAAGAAAACTCTTTATCCCATCATCACTGATATTTCCCACTCATCTGGTTTGAGGTGCCAGACTGACACAAACCTTATTGCCGTTTCAAACTAGTCAACCTTTCCCAGCAAGGGAGGCAAACACACGCTGGCTTTGCTGGAGCTATCAGCCACCAGGACACTCCCTGGCTCCCCACTCAAAGGAGCACAAAATCCTCCGCTGGCTCCTCTTCCAGAGGTCAGAGCAGGGCAGTGCAAAGGCTCTGGAGGGGCCTTCTCACCCACCAGAGGCCAGAGCCCCTCCGCCCCTGCTGAGGCTACACCGCCCAGGAGAACAGGGCATTTGCTTGCAGTGTCAACACATAATGAGGAAACACCTTGGGTTGCGGGTCCTTTCCAGTAAGTTGAGCTGCTCTGGAGCATACCCGAGGAGGAACCTGCTGGGAATAACCTGATTTTGCTTAAAAACAGAGAAGGTGAGGAGAGCAACGCTGCCCCACAGGGCCAAAAAGCAAACAGATAGCCACAAAGCGGGGGGGAGAAACCCCAAAGCCATAATCCCTCGAGGGCCATTAGTCCTATAAACGCCTCTCCCCCTCAGGGAGCCCCTGAGGTGCCGTTGCCGGCTGCTCCGTCCTCGCGCCGGTATTTTATACCCCCCGGGCTT